CATTAAGAAGTCAAATAATAACAACAATTAAAGGCGACACCAAGCAAGACCCAGGAAGGAGGTAAATGCTCTGCGTCCCATTTTTGCAAGCAAGAGACAGGCCACTCAGCTATTTAGCAAGACTGCTGCCAGTAAACCAGCATGTCTCCCACATTCCTAACAGCAAACAACAAGAGCAAAGAACACATTCTCTGGTGACCTCTGCAGATTTAGCAATTCTGGTTCTTTATTTTTTATTTTTAAATGCTGTTGCTGGATATAATTTCTAGGTATTGCAATTACATTATTTTTAATCCCGCAGAGAAATATTTTATACTGCCTTGGTTGCTAGCTATTCAAGATATTGTGGTTACATTTTTGGTGTGTTTGGTACATTTTATTGAAACGTTCTCAGGGCACTGCAGTCAATTACTACAGAGCATGCTGTTTTACTTGCTACAAAGTATCATTCAAGCATTTTCTAGCAAGTCCTTGTGGGTAGCTACATCCTGTTCAAGTAACACACACGCAGGTCCACGCACTGATAGGTACCAGATAGGTACCAGACCTGTGCCAACTCAGCCGTTTTGATTCACGCTTTTTCGGTTTGGTTCCCATGTGCTTCAGCCTTGCAGCTCAAGGTGCGATAGAGTTAAAAAATGCATTTTTAAAAGTAAACCAAATGCATTTGAAACAGAAAGGCTTAGCTGATATCCGCCTGTCATGCCTTTCCAGTGTTGTAATTTTTCCCAGCTTTTCACTCTTCTCTCCTTTTCCTTAGCTTATTATCTCTTATTCAGCCATGCAGTCGCACCGATGCCCTCTCTCCCGGCCATCCCAGTTCTTCCTTTCATCGTCACTACCTCCCCGTGGCGCTGGGCCGGGGGGGGGGGGGGGGTGCGCGGTAGACGGGAGCACAAACAACGCACACTGGGGGAAGAGAGTCAAAAAAAATGGCTTTTAGCCAGGATTCGGGTAAAGGCAGAAGAGAAGACAGCCCGTGGATTAAAGAAGGGAAACGGCTGGAAATAAATTTTGGTAGGTCTCAATCTACCAGATCATTAAAGGCAACGGAGGGAGGGGCAACCCTGGCACTGAGGAAAGGGACACATCTTGGTGAGAAAGGGGACTAAAATCCAGAGGGAAGAAAACAAAAAAGATGGTGAAGTGAGTCTGAGACACTGCTGACCATCAAACGGAAATCGGTGGAAGGGGCACAACTTTCAATCGCAGTTACAGTATGTGGGATTTTTCCTTTCCCATCAAGTCCCTTTAGGCGAGAGAGAAGACAGGAAAGCTCGTCCCAGCAAGTACCCAACACACAGAAAATTCACCGTTGTTGCTCATCTGGCATTTTTCACTCATGACACTAGTCACTGTATTTTATTTATTTAGAGAGCTGATAAGCCCATAACAAGATCCTAGAGAAGCTAGAGCACTGAGGTACTAGCTGCTACTTGAAGCCATTCCTCCAAAACAAGATTTTAAGGGAAAGTGATGGCAGCTAGTCTATAGCACTAACCCGTGGTCTAACAGGCACTGTATGGTCCTATTTTTGAGCAGTTTTATCCTCAGAAGATGTATGACTTCACTGAAAGCCTTGGGCTACAAACGATTGTTAAGCCTGATCCTGCTATTTCCTTTTGTGAGATGATGTGGGTAAGTAGACACTACAGAATCAGCCCCTTAAAGATCCATTGGACTCCACACAACCACAGATTTTTTCCCTCGTGAAAATGCTGTAGACACTTTGTGAGTCTTTGTGAAAATAGCAAAACATTAGCAGTTTGTGGAAAGTGGAAAACGGGAGCAAACGTGAAAGCACAGCTAGAATCTCACTGATTTAGCACGTCACTGCTGTTCATTCTCTGCTGATCCAAGGCAGTAAAGGGAATAAGAACAGAAAATAAATAATATTCCTCAGAAAGACATAAAAATGTAATTCTTACTCAAATTCACATTTACCCTAGCTGTCCCTCCAGCAAGCCAGATCAGCTTGCTTTGCTCATATGAATATTTTCATTAATTTGAACTGGAACTTTGACTGACAAAGGAGCACAGGCTCTTTCGTTTCTGGGCAGAAGCGCTGTAACTACCAGCTGAAATATATCAACACTCCAGATAAGCCATGAACTGTTGCATCTGTTGATTTATTGCTCATTAAAGACTTCCAAGTTGCTCCTAGTCCTGGTAATTCACACAGCTTAAAAGTGTTACATTAATGTATTTAGGAAACATTCTGAAAGCACATCAGTCTATCAAACAAAATAAGTAAATAAATTGCTGCCTAATGGCCCTTTCATCAGTTTTGGTAGGGGTCCTCTGATTTCCACTACGTACATCAGCAGAGCACTGAATGCGCTCCTTAGAGCTGTCACAATAGCAAAATTCTGTTAATTTCCCTTTAAGCTGTATATCCTCGGTCCTTAATAAAAATGTTTCCTATTTGCAAATAAGTCACTCAGCTTAGTATTTAATATTACCAAAAAAAAAGGTATTCCCATTTTTCACACATTATAAATCACACTAAAACAAAAAATTGTTTTGGAAAGAAAACCGTATGTAGCCCTATTCTTCTAACAAATGACATACAAAACTTCAACACAAAGTCCCATGACTTAAACACGCAAGTACTAATCTAATAAGAGCATAGTTTAAAAAAAAAATGGTTAAAATGTCATGTCTTAACTACCTGAGCTGTGACCCCCCCCCCCCCCCCCCCCAAAAAAAAAAACACAGCCTCCACACATGAGGTGTGACCCCCCCTCCCCCCCGGTAAAAAAAAATGGAGCAGCTTACCAACCCTTCAACTAGAATTATCACCAAAGATAAAGCATCATCAACAGAGTAACTTTTTTTTTCTTCTTCTTTTTACTGCAGTTCTGTGTTAATTGTCTTGCTTCAAGCGGACAGCCAAAAGTAACATCTACAACCCTGGGTTACAAACGCAAGGCATTTTCCTGGGCTACATTGGTGTGAAACTGAGCAACAAGTGGGGATGGAGTCGCAGTGAGGGAGGGCAAAATCAGTCCTGAAAGCCACTGACAGGAGGTGAGGTTTGCTCCTCGGGCACAAAAGTCACCAATTTTCCTGGGGCGGTTTGCTGGAGGAAGGAGGGCAAAAAGAGGCTCCCGTAGGTGGGATTGTACTAAATGTCACAGACGGGGCTGCTCAAAGCCTGCGACAGCTCTTTTACTGTACAAATACTAGCAGTGTTTTCTTTGACTTGAGGTATAACTTGGTAAATTCATACCAGTAACTGAGAAGTCCATTGCACATAGTCCAGATTGGCAAGAAAGGGGCAAATCTTTCAAATGCATCTCCTGGGCAGTACAACTTCCTTTCCAGGAACTAGCTGAATGACGACTGATCATTCTCAACATTGTACTTTACACATTGAAGCGATATGGATGTTGTACAAAGGGTAAGGTGGCAACAGTTCCCTAAAGGACAAAAATTACACAGCATGACTGAGGCTGGACAATGCGTTACCCCGCAAAGACCTGCGCTGAAACTCATGAGACTGAGATAACACACAGTGGGAAAACGGGCGCTACATTCTGGCTTTCTGTGAACATAGAGAAAAAAAAAGAAAACCTAAGGAAAATATATGAGAAAGCATACCATGCTCCTGTATTTCCTCAAGGTGATTTAGCATAGTAATTATTACAATGTGTACTAGGAAGGAGCACAGCATTTTAGAAATATGAGACTTTGCCACAGCATCTGTTACTAAACTTTGCTCAGAGGTAAGGAGAGGCAACCAAATTCTGGGTGAATTATAAAACAATTCAAGTGGCTGGGGAAAGAAAGCTTGGAGTTTAAAACCAAATTTCTCACATGCAAAAACCAAAACTACCACCATAATTATTATGCATGAGCACAAAACCAAGTGATAATATCCAATTATTAGGAAGCTGCTGTGAAACACTAGTGAATTCCGTGGGTTGCTTGAATTTGCAGCTTTTCTGCTGCTTTAAGGAAAACGTAGGCAATGCCTTCAGGCATTCAGCATTTTTTTGCCATTTTAGTGCTGAATGTTTGCAGCTCCCTTGCTGCAACACTGTCTGTTGCTTATGAAAAGCAGCTGTATTTGGAGGTACTAATAATGCCCAATAGTATAAAATCTATATTTTCTGAAGAAATCAGAATATACCTCTTTCAACACCATAATGCACAGCATTCACACCAGGTTGAGACTTGGTAGGGAAGTAGAAGATGGATGGCTTCAAATAATGGTTTATAGTTTACCACAAAGATGATGAACATTTTCTTCAGACCCCCAAGAATTTAAGTAGAGTAAAAGGGAAAGAAGGCTACATAACTCACAAGCAAGTCAGGGTCTTTTTTTCATAAGGTTTCTATAATCTTATCTTTTTTACTTCCACTCCAACTTTCTTCCCACATACTGAAGACTGTTTTCTCTGCTTATCTCAACTGGACATAACCAAGCAAAACTTCCACAACCACAAGAGTGTACCCTGGACAAGAAACCTGGAATTTATTTTCTATCATCTTAATCAGATAAAAATACCCTAAACTATACCACTGGGACAGCATGCCTTTTCACAGAGGAAGATACCAAAGATCAGCTTTCTAGGTGTGGTTTTTAAAAGTGAATTTGTTTTCGCACTGGAAACACAGTTTTCAGTTCAGGCTCAGATTTTCCTTGCCTATTCAAATTCAGTTGATATAGTGCCTGAAGAGTTAACAAGTAATTTTTTCCTTTATTTCCAGCAGTCCTTTGAAGGATTCCAACAAGAAATGCTAAAGATAACTTTTTTTTAGATTACTATTTCTTTTATCAGTTATTAATCCTACAGAGAAAAACGGAAGGTTTAAAACCTTCTTACTTCCACTTGCCCAGCATTTAGTTCCTATTTTAACATGATATTGTTCCAGGTAACCCTGATGAAGTAAATTAATTTAATAAAGAAAAGATTTGAAAAGAACAGAAGGGGACTAGCAATTAATTGCATATAGCAACAGATGGACAGACACTCATGCAATTGACGTCCTACCTCTCCTTGCCGGTGATAGTGCTTTGGTGGTTTTCCCATCTGTTCTAGCATTTTGCCCTTCTTACTGCTAGCAAGCGTCAGTCCCTGGTGGATGCCTGCAGATCTGTTGGTTGCCTGAGTTGGAGCCTCCCCCATCAGGGTGGACTTGATGGAGTTCACCTTGGAGCTGGAGCTGTCTAGCTGGGAGCTCTCCACGATCAGGACCGCGGCTAGTAAGAGGAGACAGCAGGAGCACTTATTCCACATCAGCACGATCATCTCCCCTCCCCCCAAAAGGATTATCTTTTTTTTGTTGTTGTTCTTTCTTTTTTTTTTTTTAGGCAAAGAAAACAAAAGACCAAAAAAGGATTTAAAAAAAAAATCTCCCAAAGTTGTTAATAAAGCAATGGGTTTCAATGCCACACACTCAAGGAACTGCTGCTCTGAGAGACAGAAGGGGGGGAAAAAAAAAAGAAAAGAATCCCCTAGGATAAAGACGTATCAAGTCTATAGGCACTGAGCAACTATCAGGTCTGTGAAGTGATGGCTTTTTCCTCCAGGTTCTTGAGAAGTCCAGAAATTCTTTAGTAACTGACAGCAATAAACTATGAGGCAACTGCACCCAGGGCAGCTCCCCACCAGCGCGGTCACCCAGCACGTTTGCTTAAGCTTCAGAGGAAGAGTGAGTTAGTTACTTCCCCCCACTCCCTCTCTCTTGCTGCACAAGCCAGCAGAGAGGAAACTCAAACCAGATCCAATCCAAGCAGCACCGGCAAAAGCTGGGCTTAGTTTTCTTTCACTCTCTCTCTCTCTCTCCCCCTCTCTCTCTCTCTCTTTACTTTTTATTCCCCTCCTCCTTTTCCTTTCTTTTGCCTCAGCCTCTGCAGCCAGTGGGAGCGACAGTGCCCCCTCCCCTCCTCCTCCAGTCCGGTCGGTGCTGGGCGAGGGGCTGCGGGCATCCAGCAGCGGAGGGGCAGGGCAGGGCAAGTCCCGGGGCTGGCCACCCTGGCCAAGCTTGCAGGGCAACGGGCAGACCCTAGAGAGGCTTCCTGCGCTGCCCCGCGTGCTCACACCCCTTCCCGCAGGCACATGGGGGGCTCTGGCGGTCTCTTGCTGCTCCTGTCTCTCTCTGCCCCCTTTATTTTATAGCCTGCCGCTGTGGGTCTCCCTTCCCTCCGCCCCCAGCTTGGAGGAGTGACACGCTGTGAACAACGCTCACCTCCTCCATCCTCTCCACGTTGCTCCCACCGCTCTGGGGGCTGCGCTCCCTTCCTGCGTTAGCGGGAAGGCACCCTCCGGAGGCAGGCACCGGCGCCCCTCTCCCGGGCTGCGTGGTGGCTGGGTGCCGCCGGTGCACTCCCTGCACAGCCCTGGACACGCGTGGGAGCACGCTGGGCTGCGAGGCGCAGCACACCTCGGCCCGCACAGCTGCTCTGCTGTCCAGCCTGGAGGTGACAGTTACATCTTGCCAGAAGGGGACAGGTCCCACCAGGCTTTCTGCACAGACTCCTCAGCCTGAGTAGAGCATGTACCAAAGTGCACCAGCTCCCTGAAATGCTCAGAAGTACAAACTATGTCAGCCCTGCAACACTGCAAAAGCACGGAGCTGCCATGCTACTCCTGCCGCATCTTATGCCCAAGCCTGTAAACTCCATTGCCTAAATATGTCTAGCCACTAACAGTGCACTTCACTCTTCCTAAATGTGGCACATCTCAAAGCCACAGTGCCACTAACAACTTTTATTTTGCATTTATCTTCTCAATTTCTTTGGCATGAGAATACATCCTGCTGCAGTGATATATCCAGGTGCTACCAGATACGCCCATAAATTCTAAGGCACGCACATCTCCCAGCACAGCACCAAAACCAGTCTGTTTTGAGAAATGGACGGTGGTGCAAAATTAGCAGGATTTGGGTAAACCTGTCTCTTAGCTTTTTCCTCGTACCTGCAAAAGACTTAGTGCACAAGAGATCACCCTGGGGCAACTATATACCATAGCAGAGTGGCTACAAGCCCTTCTCTTTCCCCTGGGTAAGCATAAGAAGGGGTGGAGAAAACAAAAAACAGTGAGAGGAGCAGCTCTCTTGCTATCTCATATATTCATATATGAACAGTAACATACCTGGGAAGAGTAACGAGAAATTTCACGCTTTTTCTCTCTCCCGATGGGCTGCTCCTCCTGTAAGCTCTCAATCCTTTCCACTTATTCTACCTCTGTAAGTGGCACAGAGGAGTTTAAAAAAAAAAAAAAAGGCACAAACGAAATTTCAGTTCCCTTCTTCCTTTTCAATTAGCACTTGTGTGAGAGGAAGTTGCTAAGGCAGAAACACCAGGGGAGGTGTGGGGCACCCCTTTGGGGTGTCTGTGGCCCCCAGCACTCCTGCTCTCTGTGAGCAGAAGCTAGCAGCCCTCTGGAGGGGTGGGAGCTCTCTGCAGGGACACGCCATGCGCCACACTGCCATGGGCAGATTTTCAAAATATTGTCTATCACGTGCCTGCTGGCAGCATGTCCTATTTCAGTGTTCACATTAAACGAAAAAGAGCATCTTCTAAAGAGTAGATTAATTTAATCTTTTTCCAGAGCTCAAAACTGAGGTCTGTTTGTAGGGACTTAACCCATCTCACAGGGGAGAATTTTCTTAGCATCTTTCTTATCTAATGGTCTTGTTTCTTAGGAGATTTTTATTTATTTATTCATTTTTTAAGTAGCAACTAAAAAGACAAATCAGACTTCAAGTCTGGATTTTAAAATGTTCTAGCATGGCATTTGCTCTGACTCAAGCTTCAGGTGAGCTTACATTTCACGCTTTTAAAGTTGAAAACAATTTTATTTGCACCTGAGTTCAGAAAATTAGGTGCAGAATTAAAATTTCACTTTTCCCCTTACTCAGCTTTGCAGGGAGTAAGAAATGAAAACAAACGCAAATAAAATACTACCGTTTGCTTTCTTCACAGCATTTGCTTTCTCCATCTTTTATGTAGCCTTCGGTAAATTAGAATTACTGTTCTGTCTTCATCTCTGATAATTTCTGAAGACATCTGTAAGGAAATGTTTCTAAAACAACAGAAAGTGACTTGTAATTTCACAAGAAAGTGATAAAAGTCAGGGTTTTTTTGGTCGTTTCTGATTTGCTCACACACCCAGCCCCACCTAGCATTTCACTCTTCCCAAACCCAAAAGATAATGCAAACATCTATCAGGGCCACAGGAAAAAGCTCGACAGATTATTTCTTAGAAATCTGGCAGAGATCCATATAAACATCATAAAACACACACGCACACACACACATACACAAAATCTCTAAAATCAGCTACAAACATGCAATCAACTCCAGTACCTGCACAGGCAGCCTCATGCCCAAATGCAGAAGCACTGACGCCCATCCACTGCTCAAGTATGAACAAGCTGAGACGGGGAAACACAAACCAATAACAGCTCCCTCATTTATAGCAAACAATCCTGTATTTCCTCTTCCTCCTATTAGAGACTGACGCAGCCATACTCCGTTTCCTTCCTGGGGATAAAGACACTGCAGAGAACACTTAGGTTATAATTCACATCTCTTCCTGATATCCTCCAGGCAAACCACAATCAATGTAGTCTTAGCTGTAATCACGTTTTTGAAAATATAAAGTGGCAAATTTTGATAGCTTATCACAAAACTGGACAAGCAAAATGCCATTTTCTCTCTGCTAAGAGCTATGTTTGAACTGTGGGTGGGTCTGGACTATTGATCAAAACACACAGGAGGCTGTGTTAATTCACACTTACAACAGTCCCTATCTCCAAAATGCTTTATACAAGTCAGAGCACTATGGTCAGTGTCCAGCTGGGCTCTGAATCTATTAACTGACTTGTTTGTTAACTTTGGTGACAGCACTAGCAAGCCTCCCAAATTATAACTTTTTTGGATGTTATCCTCTTGTGTGCACTCAAGAAATGCCTCTACTCACCTGTCTTCTGCTTCACTGAGGAGTATAAGACCATGTATTAAGTTAGTATTGAGCTACTATAGATAATCTCAAAGAAAAGAAAAGAAGGTGAAAGAGGGAAAAAAGGGAAAAAAGGGAAAAAAGGGAAAAAAGGGAAAAAAGGGAAAAAAGGGAAAAAAGGGAAAAAAGGGAAAAAAGGGAAAAAAGGGAAAAAAGGGAAAAAAGGGAAAAAAGGGAAAAAAGGGAAAAAAGGGAAAAAAGGGAAAAAAGGGAAAAAAGGGAAAAAAGGGAAAAAAGGGAAAAAAGGGAAAAAAGGGAAAAAAGGGAAAAAAGGGAAAAAAGGGAAAAAAGGGAAAAAAGGGAAAAAAGGGAAAAAAGGGAAAAAAGGGAAAAAAGGGAAAAAAGGGAAAAAAGGGAAAAAAGGGAAAAAAGGGAAAAAAGGGAAAAAAGGGAAAAAAGGGAAAAAAGGGAAAAAAGGGAAAAAAGGGAAAAAAGGGAAAAAAGGGAAAAAAGGGAAAAAAGGGAAAAAAGGGAAAAAAGGGAAAAAAGGGAAAAAAGGGAAAAAAGGGAAAAAAGGGAAAAAAGGGAAAAAAGGGAAAAAAGGGAAAAAAGGGAAAAAAGGGAAAAAAGGGAAAAAAGGGAAAAAAGGGAAAAAAGGGAAAAAAGGGAAAAAAGGGAAAAAAGGGAAAAAAGGGAAAAAAGGGAAAAAAGGGAAAAAAGGGAAAAAAGGGAAAAAAGGGAAAAAAGGGAAAAAAGGGAAAAAAGGGAAAAAAGGGAAAAAAGGGAAAAAAGGGAAAAAAGGGAAAAAAGGGAAAAAAGGGAAAAAAGGGAAAAAAGGGAAAAAAGGGAAAAAAGAAAGGAAAAAAAGGAAAAAAAGGAAAAACCACACACAAAAACGAACGCTTTGTGTTTCTTTTACACAGGAAGCAACAGAAATATGAGACAGTGATGCAGTATTCTCCACCAAACAATTTCAATAAGGAGGGTTATAAAGAGAACAAAATAAACAGATGAGATACATAGAGAGAATCCATGACAATAACAAAAATTACAATATGATGATCTCATGCAAGTATCGTCCAGCTCTACTTGAATTAAATGGATGTGTGTGGTGTTAAAGGGAAGGCACATACTACCTAACAGGACTGGGGCTGCAAGACAACTGTGTTTAAATTAAAAAAAAAAAAACTAAATAAAATTATTTAAATTAATAAATGTAAACAGTGAGCCAAGTTCTAAAGTTCCTTGATGTAAACAGCAAAGTCCCCATAAATTCATTGCCTCTATAAATCTGAAGAAAACTAGGGGTAGTGCTTACAGATTTTCAGATATTTAAGGACAGATGCTCAAACTCATTCTTTTAATCAGTCTAGATTCAGCTAAGGACGAAGTTAATCAGTCAGCTGGATTCAACTAAATTGCAAGATATTAATCTAAAACTTGCTGAGAATGGAGCTTGGTGTCCATCCAAAAGGGCAAGACCTCTTTCATAACTCACTTCTGTGGACTGCAGATACTTTGCAGCATCTCTGAGCAACTGGAAGCAGGTTTGGCTTTGCTGTCCCTGATGGACCAGTTCCCCCTGGCAGAAATAACCTACCTGACTGCAACGTAACGGCTGCGAGATAGCACTCTGCTCCAGACTAAAGGTGAGGTCGGAAGTGGCCGGAGAGGACACTGAAGGCATGCTTTGGCATTGGGGGGAGGGAGGGGGAAGCTCTTTCTTTCTTTTTTTTTTTTTTTAAGCAGAGCATGAAGGTAACTACAAGATCTTGTGCTGTTGCAAAAATTCTGGTGTAGAGGATAGACAATACTGCTGAGAAACAAGCTATCTGGTGTTTTGTTTTTTTCCGCTTTTAACCAGCATTCAGCCTATCCCCTGTATACTCCAAACTGCTCAAATTTGGTCATGGATTTTCTATGCTACTCCTTGTAACAGTTCCCACATGCTTTAAAGACAAATTTATTTCACAAATCCTACTTAAACAAAATGGTACTGAGGCAAAAATACCAAGAGGCATCCTCATTTTTCAGATTCATAACTATGCCACTACAACCTGGATTTTCAGAGACGTGAAGAATTTCTTAAAAAGGTAAGTGCCAAACAGGACCTAGCAAAGGAACCAGCTACCAAACCCCATAGGCATCAAGTGCATAGCGTGCACTTTTAAAAGATCTACTCAATATTTTATATGGAGTAAATATTGATACTACTGAGGATCAGGCAGAGAGAGAGAGAAAGGTTGAAAAGTAGCCACCGAGTTTGTGCCCCCAATTTGGAAGAACTAAGGCTCACGTATTTTGTTTGTGGTTACACTAACAATTTTGAGCAATACAGTCTTTTGCCCAAAACCACGTTTTGCAGCTAACTGTACAGAATAACAGAAGAAGCATTTCCTTGAAAACCACAGTCAGCAGCAAATGCCATGAAACCCAGGGGATGATCACTGGAAATCTCTCATCAAGTAGCATATGACTGAGATGGAACCTGTTCCTGACCGCGGCATACGTAATCACGAATCTTTTCCTGTGATCTGCAGCCAGCAAAGAACCATTGTTTCCAGCCCTTCCCGGGGAGCCCACGGGGTGCCAGGAGGTGACAAGGCAGCACACTCTAGGGAGACACAGTCACCCTGACCTTGGAGGCAGGTTGTTTGGAGGTTGCCACGCTTAAACTGCTAATTCCTCCTGCAGGTTTCAAGGCAGCCCCAAATCTAGCTTTCATTTATGATCAATCACTCCCTGTCAGAGCTAGCTTGGGAGCGAGGCTTGAATCCTGTCCTGTCCCAGATGAGCTAGGACAGGTTTGCTCCTCTCTCCAGAAATAGTTTGGAAGTTGTAGGGCTAACAGGGCTGCTATGAATCCCCTTTAGCTCTTCAATGAACAGTCAGTTCCATCAAGTCCATCAAATAGAAACAAACCCAAGTTTCTAAGAAAGAAGCCCAGTATGCAGAAAGAGGCTGCACCGGCCACAACCCTGCTAGGCAAGACCACCAACATGCATCGTATTGACAACTGCATCACTGAGCCACAACTACTAGATCCTCATTTATTGATTAAAATCTATTTTAATACAAACATATGCATTTATATCTCTTTGGGGCTAAATCAGCTTGCTTTTTACAGGAAAAGTGGCTTCTCCTTTCTGTCTTACTTGCACCTGTAAACAGGAGAAACTCGACAGAGCAAAGCTTGCACTTATTTCTAAATCAGGTATTCACACCTGATTTTATGTTGAAGGTTTAAAAGTTCCACCTACATATTTCTGTTTCAGAAACACTTTCTTTTAATTAAATTTGCTTACAAATTTTTAATGAAAAACTTGAGTGGCCTTAAAAAAATAAAACTTTCTGTAGAATTTTCCCAATATCAATACTTAGTTTTGAAAAAAAACAAAAAAGGCCAAAAAAAGAGCCTTGATATTTTTCATTGAGAAGTATCAATATTTTAATTGTGTTTCTACTTTCTCTTTTTTTTTTCTTTTTTTTGTATAAAATTCCCCCTCCCTTATTTTTTTGTCAGGGAGTTCAAATAGATTCATTATAGCCATTCTTTCATTTTTCTTTGGGAGAGAGGCTAGAAGGGAGAGGGAAGGCAAAGAGTAAACTTTGAAAGAGTAACTTTCTTTTTTCTTCTTTTTTTTACTCTCATTCCTTTTTCCTTTTGCCTCTGAAACATTTAAAAAGAGAGAACATTTGTGAAAGCCATCAGCTAGAATAAATTAAGATAAGAAAATCAAAGTTCCACATTCCAATAAAGGAATACAAGAAATTATTATAATCAACTTAAGGACAAATAGGAAGTACAGTAAAAATGGGGAGATTCTTCTCCTGACCTCCTCCAAAGGGCCAAAGTGATAAGCTATAAATGAAAAATATTATGGGCCAGATTATAAACCTGTGCATTTTACAGCATTTATATTGTAAGCCACTTGACTTCAATTGAACTGTTCTTGATTTATACCGGCTTTAGTTCAGTCTAAAGTCAGTCCTATGTTTTTATTTCCCTTAAATAAACAAAATTACCTGCTCTTCAAATTAAATCTGTTTTTAATCCTATATAAAGCATTTTGGGACACTTGTTGTATGAAAGATATTCTATAACATAGAGGTGTATTGATTTTTGTTATTATTTTTTCAGTTCACCAGCTGCACTGAATTTCCATCACCCCTTACAGCAACTCACACAACTTGGATATGGCCACATCTCCCTTAGCACTGCCCCAGGGCCTACTCTGTGCTTTATTTAATTTCTTATTAAAAAAATGCAATCATGACCATCAAGCAATCCCTAGTTTTCCTAAGGCAACAGCTCAAGAATATGACATTTTCTGAAAAAAAGTAATGTTTAAGGAGCAACTTCCACCCCTCCACCCACCAGGTCTTTGTGGGGCCACATTCTGAACCAGACTGGGGGTCACTTCTTCCCTTCTTTTACTACCTTCTTCTTCAGTTCACAACCCAACCCAAAACCCAGTTCGTTCTTCCCCGCTGAGAAGGCTTTGCACAGCAGCACGGGGGCAGGAGCGAGTAGTCGCTGGGTGTAGGACAGGGACAGGAGGAGGAGAGCCTCTCTCTCCAGCATTGCCATCAAATGCTTCCTACCCTGGGACTCTGCCCCAGCACAGAGCCTGGGGGAAGGTGGAGGCAGACGATACCTGAAAGCGTGACAGGTGCACGTCAGCTTCAGAAGTCTCTGCTAATTCTGCCTCAGTTGCCTCTTCAGGCTTCCTCTCCACATGCAATATCTCTCCACATGGAGTCTGAGCATGTTCCTGAAACAGTGTTTGTTTTAGCATCAACCAGAGAGAAAGAAAACCCAAATGGAAAGATTTCAGCAAAACTCAGGGAAGGGGTGGACCTCGGGCTTGGGACATGACCAGTTAAACTCTCTCACCTCCACAATAGGAAGAGACGTGAGCGAGCCAGCAGCACCCAGCAAGGGGAGCAGCAATAGCCGTGTGGCGCTTCCTCCTGCCGCATGTCTGTCTGCCAGCCTGTTGCTGACCACACCGTGGTCTTCCAAGCCAGGGAATTCCTCCACACACCTCCAAAGCTGCGCAAGGAAGATGTATGCAAGCTACGCTGTGCATGCATAGCACATGACTTTCAAAAGATCATAACACACAAACCAAAACATGAATTCACAGTAGCATACAAAGCCAACTGACTTGATATGGAAACAGCTGAAATTTCTGCTTTCCTCCACCAGCTGCATATGTCAAAGAGTTGTTAAAACAATAAAAATACTTACAATTAGCAAGTCTACATACACCCATTTTCTGTACAGTATTTTTGGCAATATTTGAGCCAAGTTATTCAAACTTTCCAAGGAAAAATAACCTTAAGGAAAATTCCCTTCCCAAGAATGAAAGCAACAAAAAATCATAAGGCCAAAAAGAGAGTTAGAAAGGAAATCGTTATGCAACCTTCGCTACAATAAGTACTGAAAAAGCTTATTGTATTTATTGTGTCCCTTTCACATTTGCTGATAACGCAAGTCACATCTGACTACCCTACATGAATCACGTAAAAGCTGAAAACAGTAAACAAAAATATTGTCAATCATTTCCTTTGGTTTGCAAACATGTCTTAAACAAATGTTTCTGGAGCTAGGATGTTGCACCTACAGAGTGCTTTAGGCTGTAGAAATCTTAATTTTAGGGAAAG